GTTCGCCTGTGGCTGAGCAAGCTCTGATTTCTTTGGAAAGATTTGGCGTTTAAATTTGGGGCCTAACAGTCTAGACTGCATAAGCATGGCAATTTTTTCTTTCTTTTTGACCTCATCAATTTTTTCTTGAATTTCTGCATCTAATAAATTTTCTAGAAAATAGAGCTTCCTTAATTTATTTTCATAGGTCAGATCATTGGATTCAGGTTTAAGAGGGGGGCTCCTTATATTGTTTTTCAAATAACCCCAGGGCTTGTCTCTATCTTGTGTATTTGAAAAAAGCAGTTTAATGAATGGTAATAATGTTGATTCTACATTTTCTAGATTTCCTTCTGAAAAACAAGGCAATATATAATTTAGTGCACTAATCACATCGCTTTCATCATTAAAGTCTTGCGGCTCATTCATGAAGCCTGAGAGGTTGACGCCACTTTTGTCTGAGGAGGCTTTCTCGGGCTCGATGATTAGCTCTGTTCTGGTTTTCTTCTTCCGGGCCTGTAATACCTTCATGAACGTCCCATCTGCATTCCCTACAGAAGTTTCCTCAACTGTCAAAAAAGAAGAGATTGCTTTTGATAGTGGAAGACGGATGAGACAGGTCTTTGTCATTCCCCGCCATACATTGCGGTCAAATGATTTAAGAATCGCAAACATTTGAGTGCTGGTTAGACAGGGAAAAAACAAACCCAAACCTAGTCCTATGAAATGACGACAACAGGAGAAAAAGACATATTTAGTCAAAGCGGCTACCTACTCAGAACATTCCATAGTGTGAAATGTAGAAACTCTGTGTAGGATTATTTCATGGGTTCTCAATGGCCAATTGCTCCGTGCTGGCCAGTAAAAGGCCATGACTGAAAGTCCAAGTCCCTACTCAGCCAGCCTCTCTAGATCTGCAGGGCCCTCTCAGTTAACACACCCCAGACCACCTTCCCTCACGCGGAGGGAGCACCAGGCTTCCCCTCCCCACCTTTTCAGTGTACTTGTGTCCTTGCTACCCTCATAGATGACCACAGCACAAGACAGTCCTCCGAGGGGAGCAAGAGCAGACTTGCTAAAGCAGCGGCCCTGCTCCCACTGCTGACAGGCCCTCATTCCGACATGCCCCTCTCCTCCTGCCCACCGGCTCCTTCCCTTGGCCTTGACTCCTTACATCCCAGCCTCCATAACAGAAGGCTCTCCACAGACAGAACACTACGTCAACTCTGGTTCTTTCCTTATACTTGGGCAGGGATCAGTTTCTTTACTAAAATTTGGGCAGAGTACGGGATAAGAGATTTTTAACTTGCCAGGTTGAATGTGTATGTGGCATGTTCAATACATCTATGGAAATTCTGGAAAAATATTGCTCGAGGTCCTAGAAGGACAAAATAAGCAACTTTTCTCAAATGCCTGTTTTGCTGTTATTTCATTTGCAGTATTTCCTGTTGCACATGAGGAGCCACCCAAAGTTTCTGACTGCCTGAAGGTCAGGGGCACCATTGTATAGCTGGGTTCCTTCTCCAGAAGAGTTAAAAGTATTTTTGGTGGTGGTAAGGATCAGAGGAGGAGGCAAGATCATGACAAAGGAGGAACGTGGGCTCCTGGAGAACCCAAAGTTGGGGATGGAAGACCTGGACGCTACCCTGCAAAACTCAAAACCTCTGATCTCGTTTTTCCTCACCTAAAAGAGATTAAAAATGCTTGCTCAGCCCACCTCTGGGGCAGAAGGGACTAATATCAGTAGTATTATAGTAATAACATAATAAAATAATCTTATTATAAAAATGGATAACTAATAACATAAAATATATTGAGTTATTAGTATATCATTATTTATTAATAACATATTGGTTATTATAATGATGATATTGGCATACTATTACTACATTGCAATAACTTTTATATTAACATGTTATAATAACTAACATATTATTATATGAATAATATAATAAAATAACTTAAGTATATTATCAATATAATGAAAAATTATTTTGAGAAATAAACACTAACATTTTTTATTTTATTATTATTTTTGAGAGGATTTTGCTATAGGGCACTTGTGCTGAGCAGAAAGACAGAGAGAGACAGAAAGCAAGAAATCATCCCCCAGGGAGGAC